CATCTGAATACTAGTTGCATTCTGTTTTCCTTCTTAGCACCATTCCAAAGTGCTGGCAGCAACAGCCCATCTCAGTTGCCAGCAGTTGGGTTCACCGCCGCAAAAATGAATGAGATGTGCTCATTTACGGGTGGCAATCGCCATCACACCGACAATGTTCTCAATCTGAATTTCAGAGTAGGTTGAAATCCATGTTCAGCGAATTCCATCATCCAATACGAAGTGTGTGCTAAACTTTTCAGGGATTCAGACCATTTTTCAGTTTTTTTTTTGGTTTGTTTCCATCTCACATTTGCCATCCTCGAAACGATTTGCTGTAAATTTTCAGTTCCAAGATTTGGATATGATCGCAAGTATAGTGGCTAAAGAACAAGCGATGCTGAAAGTGAATTCTGCGGCTCGAGTCGATCAGAATTCTTTAGCGAATTTAGCGTTGCCACATCGACATCCTCAGGTTATAGTTAATGGGTAAGTGCGCTAAACTCTATAATCATTTGTTGCGATTATCAGTGCTTTTTTTGTCAAAATCTCTTGTTATCATTTNCATATTATTCTTCGCATTCCGTCTTATACCGTATCAAAATCATCGTCTTTCAAGCGTTTATGCATTCAGTCGTTCCATTTTCTGCTCGTTCACACTAATAGCATTGCAAATGTCATACTTACTAGGTGGCATTCATTCGTCATCATCAATATCGTCTTTTCATAAACTTATTTCAATAAACATGTCAACTGAAAATGCTCATTTGTACGAATTTTGAGATTCCGTACGACCTGTGCTCAAATGATCTTGAATAGTGGATACTTGCTAGTTATATATAGGTCAAAATTGCGCTCACTCTTAGGTCATCAGCAACCTGAGACTGTTGAAGACAATGTTGAGGTGGTTGTGGTTGAAATTCTGGCCTGATCGCTTGATCCCATATAACCGGTGTTGAAAGGATTTTGATATGTAGCCATAATAATCTGTGGTTACGGTTATTTTTTCTGTGTTGTAAGAGGCAATAACACCCTAGATTTGTTTACTTTTTCTAAGTTAGATGTCGGCATTCTTCTTGAGTCTTAAGTTAGCCCAATTGATTTGACTGCATTCATGCTCGTTCGCTTGCTTTCATGGTTTGCACAATTGTTTTAGTTTTAGGAATGTTTTAGGAGAAAAAGAATCTTAACTTTCTCTCATATTGAGATAGTTTTAGTGGAATCACAAAACATATTGACCTCTGAACATGTTGAACGATTCAGTTTCGTCTTTAGTTAAAGAGTTCCTTTTGCCAGTTGTTGCTATCCACAATCCGTTTTAACGATGACTACCGAAAATGTAGCTTCAACGAGACCCATTGCTTATTTTTCTTATGATATGCGGCGTTCTTTCATGACGCAGTTTTGTACATTTACATACGCGCCTGCATAGAAAAATGATGAAATGTTGAAAAGGATTTACCGTGCCATTTCTAACTGAAAAAACAGAATTAAAGTGTTGTGTGTGCATATGAATATCTTGAATGTTCATATGAATCTGCTATTAATAATTCCATTCATCATCTCAAACAAATCATCTGAATTTTTATTCGAATCATTCATTTAAATGTGTATTATGCATTAATTTGACTGTTCGTTTATTGTGGGCGTGTTGTACCACCATTTCAATTCATTAACTCGATAAAAACTGTGTTCATGATGTGTGAACGAGATTTGGATGAAAAAA